ACATCAAATAATGTCGACATAAACTATGAAACAGAACAAGGAGAATCTTTTTCCTCATTAAATACTAAAAAGTCTCGAATTATTGAAGAAGATGAGCCCGACGATTATGAATTCATTCATATACATAACCCGTGACAGTAGTGTTAAGAACATCTCTGAAAAGAAATGAAAATGAAAATAGTTTTTCCTTTTTTATGAAACATTGCATCGAAGCTCAATGAAAGATATTATAGATGTGTTTATTATGTTATTGTTATAAATTTTTTGTTTTCTTAATTTTATGTTATATTTTATGTTGAAACTGTCTGTTTTTGCCAAAGAATTAAAAAGAATCATGAAATCTTGAGAAACATAAAGCAAATATTACATAATAGTTTGATTTCAATTACATTTAGTTGAAATTTGAAGTGAATAAGAAACCGGGTCTGAAAAAAATTCTATCAAACCCGGACCCGGATCCGGACCCACGAGAAAAAACCTATCAGACCCGGATCCGTACCCAAACCCGGACGGATCCGGGTCCGGGTCCGGGTCTGGGTCGATTCGCTCCTCCCTACTGACAGTTGATCAGACACTGAACTAGTATGTTTTCGTTTTCTGAGTTGTCTTCGATTTTCATTATCTATTTTATAAGAAAACAGAAATTATCTGAGATTTATATATAAATATATACTGCTGCTACTATGATCAGCCGTATTTGCTTCGCGACAACGTTGTCTTCTGCGGCGATGTTGCTCTTTACGGTTTCCTCGGTTCCTCTTTGTCTTTGACTGTTGTGATTGTTGCTGTTCAGTAGGAGAAACTTCTTTTGGTGTTGACGTTCGAAAACATCCTTGGCGTGGTTGAAAACTACCACTGAAACTTCGATTAAATACCGACGAACTAGAGCTCATATCGAAAAGATCGAAAGTATCAGTAACTGAAAAAGATTGGTATCCTGATCATTTTTCTTCTTCTTCTTCTTCTTTTTCTTAAAGAGTCTTATTCTTCTTTTTTCCCACATATAATTGAAAAAAACATCAAAACAATTGACTTTTCATAGAGCAAAGGCTGGTCGATTAATGACAACAACGATAACATGTTCTACTTTGGGTAGTTCATCGATAGTCCATTTAATGATTCGAGATAATGGATATTGTCGATTGGGTCGTTGTGTAAAGTCTCGAATCAATTGCCTTATCTTGTCGAACAATTCATTTTCTTCATCTTCCAAAGAATGCATTGTTGCCGAAGACACTACATAAAGTGGTGTTGAAATAGCAGCTGGTAACCATTCTCTGGTGGATGTATGTACTTGAAAAGATTTTGAATTCGACTGTGAGCTACTTCGATTGATGCCATCATCAGTTGTCCTTCTGGAAGGTGTCGACGTCAGAGTCATGTTTACATTGGTGGTATAAACCGAAGCTGACGGGGATGTAACTTGACTGTACCAATGACCTTGAGCACTTTGAAAAAAAGTACTATCATCTGGCGTTTTGTCGTTTCTGTCGATTGGTAATAAGTTGTTGTGTCCCTTCCAATTCCAATGAATAGAGATCTAAAAATATTTCAAGTATTTGAAACAACATACACTGACTTATGTATAGTACTCGAAGACGGGATCAACAAATCGATTGTTTCGCAAAGAAAAAAAATCTAGAAAAAACATTTTTATTACTACAATAAATGACCAATCAATAATTAAAAAATAGACTCTTATTTGAAGAAACTTGGTTTTTCACACTTTACATTTTAAACTATGTATTTCTGCTGTGTCAGCGTGATTTTTATGTCTGCATCTTTATGTAATCTTTATCATTGTGTTGTGTAGATTAGAAACA